GTCTGGTGTTCTTCCTTTGCAAGATCTAAACGGGGAGAAGCAGTCTTCTTAGTCTTAGTGAATCGTCTGTCCAGAGATGGCTGGATCTGGTATCGCTCTCAGGCTGCATGAATTCAGAGAGCCTCAGGACTGCAAAGACATCACCACAACAACAGTTTTAACAAAAAGGTGAGTGTGCCGCTTCAAATTATTTCTCCCTGTTCCCCTCATTTGTAAAAATTCCTGTGGCCCCTTATTCGATGTTCGTTAGACACAGAGGTATGGTTGGTTTCGGTAGCTCTGCATAACATGCTTTAGGCCTTTGCAGAGACTGCTGGATCCAGGATGTGCTTGTGCGATTTATTAAAAAACATGCAGCTATTACAGTAGTGGTATACAGTCTGGATATGAGGATAAAATCTGGATATAAGATTGTAGAAAATTTTCAGGGCTCAGAACAGGGGACCCATATCTCAAAAGTGCTTATTTAAAAAAGGCGGATCTGGAGTTACAGCAAGGACGTCTAAGGCAGGAACCTCTGCAGGAGGAAAACATAGGTTAGTGACCACGTTAATCTGACAGAGGATCATTATGAACATGTGAGTCACTAACCTGGTTGTATAGTTTACTCCATGCCCAGAGAACAAGATTGATTCCTGCCGGTTGGCCGTCAACAAGAGGCGTAGTCCCAGAGGAGGGAGAATAAGCAGAAGATCAGATCCAAGGGGACATAGAAAGGCAGGATTATCAGGGGACAAAGCCAAAGCTGGTGTCAAAGATATTCTCAGGATTTAGAAATCCAGGTCGGTGACAGAAAGAAGCTCCAAGTTCAGTTAACAGGAAGAATCCAGTAGGAGTCCCAAGACAGGTCAGGCAAAGAGATCAGATGGGAAGAGGTAAGCTCAGTGGTTGAGAGGTATAACATGTCAAGATCAGGTAATCAGAAACACTAATGTAACGCTAGAAAACCCTCCCCACTAGCTCAAGAATAATCTGGCACTGATGACTGGTTAGGGGGCTGATTAAATAGAAACAGGTGCAGGTGGATCAGATGAACTGTAATGAGAAAACGAGCGGAGCTAAGCAGGTGAAAAAAGAGAATAATCCAGTCAGTCATCGGCGCCAAGATCATCACAGAAAACAAAACAAAATAAAGTAATAGGGGTCAACAAAAAATAACGACTACCCGACAACCTCTCCTTTGCTCAGGTGAATGTGCCACTTTGAAAGCTACTCCTCACCTGCACACATGTACACAGTGCCTCTATGCCCATGCAACAACCAATACTCCCCACACAAGGGCAGCAGACACCCACATATCATCAAATGTCTCTATCCTTGAGGGAAATTTCCATTGACATAATTTCTAACAAGAAAAAAGAAAACACAAGTCAAACCTTTACCAAAAACCATGGAGTCATCAGGGGAAGAACTGCAACCAGAAGGAAGGCTCAGAGAGACGAGTAGGTAGTACTGATGAGGTTAGACGAGGACCCAGCAAAGAAGAGCAGAACAGAGAGAGTATGTAGGAGACTGAAGCAAAGAGAGGGTTAATAAACAGATTAGGAGCAGGTGTGAGCAGAGCAGAAACAAGAAAGGAGCAAGATAATAAAGGAGAACTCAAGAGGGCAGCAGAGGGCAACAAATAAAAACCTGAGAACTGAAAATAACCAGAAAGAACAAAATAAGAATCAAACCATTAAGACTATAAAACAATGGAGTAAAGCAAAACTGAACACTAATAAGAAAATATAACAGAACCAAGACTGAAACAGTAACTAAGAATAAACCAGAGAACACAGCAAAATAAAAATAAATCCACTAACACTAGAAAA